ACTTGATTAAAGGATAAAAGAAATGGCATGGAATGAAAATATCATACCACAGTGACACATGTGCACCCATGCTTATAGTGGCAAAATTTGTCATAGCTAAGACTTGGAAACAACCCAAATGGCCATCCCCTGAGGAATGGATGAAAAAGATGGTGTATTTTCATAGAATGGAAGCAACCCAAATGTCTATCCACAGAGGAATGGATAAAACAAAAGTGGTATTTTTATAGAATGGAAGCAACTCAAATGCCCATCAACAGAGAAATAAACAAAAAAGATGGGCTATTTTTACATGATGGAATATTACTCAGCTATAAAGAAAGACAAACATGAGGCTTTCATAGGTAAATGGATGGAACTAGAGTCCATAATCATAAGCAAAATGAATCAGACCACATGTGTAAGTACCTTATTGTCTCCATAGTGTAAGAATCTGACAGTGTAAATAAATTCTGAAGCGTAGAGTGGATATCGTTAAAGGGAAAGAAATTGCTCAAAGGGAAGGAACAACTGGGATGAGGGAAAGAAACAAAGAAAGAAGGGAAAAATATATAATAATGTCTTTTCTTGATGGATTGGCATTCCGTGAAGTGGACAGGCATGTGCAGTTACAGTAATGTCCTACATGATTAGCACTGTCATGAACCACTCGTAACTGAACACATGTACCGATCATGGAATTTTCCTGAGGCACACATGAACAGTGACATTTGTATCATCAAAATGCAAATACCTTTTGAAGCTGTAAATGTAAGAAGGGGCAATTAGAGTGTGAAAAGGCTTAGGTATATTAAAGACCATTTTGAGTTCAGGAAGTGTTGGAGTTTCAAAAACGTTATGTTCACTGTTCGTGAAGATTTTATCATAAGAAGAACAGAAAAACAGTTTGAGGCCTTGAGCTGGAGGATTATATCTAGAGCAAGCATCACCTACGTGGTGATATTATGGGAAATCAGCATGTACGTAGATATAGGAACTATGGACTTGCATCACTGCTTAGGTGACTAAATGTCGGTCTTCAGATTTTGAGTTGATGGAGAATGCATTCAGAGAAATAATGTGTGGGAATATTAACAATGGAATAAGTGTTTGTGAAAACGGGTACAGTTACTATAGAGAAGGTAGAGTGCATGCCAGGGATTTACCAGTCAGTACCTGCTTAATTTTAGTGTTTTCATCTGACAAGTTGATGGCACTGAATACAGAACTAGAACATAGACTAACTTGTCACAAATACAGTGTTAAAATCAGCAAAACCAAAGTTGAATGTGCATTGTAAGGGAAGGCAGTATCCATAACGGACCAGAAATCTTCAGTTTTAAGTACATTTTGTGAGTAAGTGTGATGATGTATCCAGATCTCTGTGTTCAAGGGACCTTAACCACAAGCTCCTCTCACCAACAGTGGCAGAAGAACGTACAGGAAAAAGAGACAACCATCTCTAGGGCACGAAAAGAAGGAGCAGCAGCATTTGTGTTACCAAAGCAATACAGCAGAATCCTTATTATCATGTGGGATTATTTCCTTCCAACCCCCCCAAGAGGGAACCTGGGGAGCTCTGCAGACTTTTCTCACTCTTAGTAGAAAATGTACAACTCCTGGATGTGTCAGGTTGAGACAAGAAGATCAGAGAGGAATTGACTTTTATGATGGAAGATGAATGCTTTATCAAATATCACTTGACAGATGAGATTAGGCACATCAAGGACACACTTTCAGCAGGGTAAGGGAGGCTCTTGTGGTGTCTATTGCGTACACTCCCCCTGATGGAAGGAATGGTGCATGTCTCATTGGTAAAATCCACTTAAGAAGTGTGCCAACCTAACTGCTCTCAGACACACTTCTAGTCTTCAGATGTTGAAAAGTATTAGTAAGGTGGTACAAGCTGGGGCTGGGATTTAGAAGATGATAATAAAATGGGATGAATAAAAGTATTTAAAGAAAATTCTAATACATCAATACCCACTACCATGCATTCTCTTATGCGTTTGTCCTGGCCGTGGTTCCCCACGTTTCTGGAAAGAGTAGTTACTAGTCACTGAGATGAAGCTGGAGGAGAAATCTGCTGAAAGGCCAAAGTATAACATGAAAATCAAATGACGATTAACAACTTGCAAGAGCCATTGCCAAAGTGCTAATACTGCTCAGAGTCCAGTCATGGGGCAATATCCATTACCAGAAGATGTTGACATATGGCGTTGCTTGTTCATTGCAGATGAAATCCTGAAATATGTACTAGCCAAGAACAAATTATTTAAGCATGTAGACACCTTTCCTTTTTTCACCAAAATCTTTCAATTAAACTTTGTACATGAGCAGCTGACCAGGAAGGCAACATATATCGCTATAGGATGCTAGAATCATTGAGGAAGGGCCCAGGACAAATGTGCCCTCTGACGAAAATCTCCAAAATGTACAAATTTATAAAAATATCAAAGACAACTTTTGGTAATTATGAAAATTAACTGGGTACATAAGACAACCCTGAAAATTGATTTCTCAGGAAAAACCACTGAAATTTGTTGAGACAAACCACATTCTTTGACTTAGATTGGTGATTTTGCAACCCAGCCCAGCTGTGAGGTGGGATTGAAATATAGAGTGAATATTTAAGTGTATTTATTTATTTTTCTATTTTAAAGAGACAAGAAAGGGAAAAAAAAATGAGAACAACACAGAATTAAAAAACAAGATGATAGGAAATTAGCAGTGCTTATTATGTTGCATATTGTTATCTACACAGTATTTGCTCAGATTAACAAGGGCAGACATGCAAAACTGATGAAAAAATGTAAGTGCTCAGGGTTCCTTTCAGTGAACTAATAGAAATTAGTAGTGCCCCAAAGGTACATGTGCACCCGTGGTCACAGAAGCACAATGTGTCAGAGCTAAGTCTTGGAAACAACCCAAATGTCCATCCACCAAGGAATCAGTGAAAAAGATGTGCTGTTCTTATACAATAGAGTATTACTCACCTGTAAAGAAAGAGAAATTTCGGGCTTTTATACGTTAATGGATGCAAATAAAGACCATACTCATAAGTGAAATAAACCTGACCCCCATGTGAAAACATAGCATTGTCTCCCTAGTATAAGCAACTGAAAGAGTAAAGGAGATGCAAAAGGTGCAACAGACATTGTGAAAAGGAAAGAAACTGCTCACAGGAAAGAACAACTGGGAACGGGGAAAGCAGAAAAGAAGGAAGGGGATATTTAAACTTAAAACGTGATTAGACCAAAAAGCAAATTGCCTTTACTCCTCCTCAGAATACTCCATCTCCTCCTCCCATGAAAGGATGGAAATAGAGAGATAAATTCTTCTGATGGGAATTAGGGCGGAGTGTACCTCACACTTTACACAACTCCATAAGTGTGAAGATCTAGGGGTTCTATACGGAACACTTTCAAAGGAAATCATTAACTTTTGTGGCTCGCTGTCTGCACTGACATTAGCAGATTCTAAAGTTCACAGCGGTGTCTACGACACATGGGTAAGTATTTATGTCTGTTACACAAGTGGCTTAGAGTGTCTCATGTAAGAGTTACAAATGATCTTACAACAGCAAGGCATGTCATTCACTCTGGAATTCAAACGGGGTTAATGAGATCTCATTGCTCAGATTGTTGCAAAATTCCTTCACCTTGTCACCAAAAGACCTGTTCTTTTCCAGGGATTTGTGCCAGTTTTTTCGACAATTACACCCACACAGTTATGCAAGATACAGGTTTGCAACCTTTGAAGAGGGACTATTTTCCTAGTATGGCCAGTATGTCAAACATCCCAAGGGAACAAATATTTTACAATATTAGGGTGTATGACTTTTGTCATGTGGTTTGATTTCATTCTCCACAGTGCACTAAGGTGGAACTTTTTTCTTGTAACAGTTGGCTGACGAATGTCTTTCTCTCTTTTATGTCCATAAGGACTGTTCTCCATCTTTAAATTGCATTCCTCTCTTGATATTGAATGTTGGGAGTTTCTTTACATGATGCTTGTCTCATTTTGCTGATGTTGGCCTTTAAAGTCTGTTCTATCTAGTATTAATACCTGTATGTACCTTTTCTCAACTTCCCTTTGCAAGACATTTCTTCCTCAGTTTCTTCACATTCAGTACACGTGTATCCTTAGAGATCAGGTAAGTTTCTTGTAATCATGGTATAACTGGGTTTTGTTTTTCATTCATTCATTCAATCTAGGTCTATCGATAGCAGAATCTGTTAGTGGTTTTCATCTCAATTACTGAGGATTGAGCTTTGTCTTCTGCCTATGTGTCACTTGTTCCCTAGCTCAATATAGGTTCTAAGACTTCTCATAAACTTGTTTCCCTGATTTAGTTGTACATTTTGATTTTTTATATTTATTTTAGTCTTCATATTTACCAGCATTTTATTTTGTAGACAGTGTGTACAGGTTAACACATCTGGGTTCTGGTGCCCCTAGAATGTTGTTGTCTTGTATTTACTTTCATGATTCACATGCATGTCTGAAAGTGCAGGATTGCAATCATTTCAATTTTCTGGTGTCCATTACAATAAGACTTTTCAAATAATTCTAGCAACCCTGTTCTGCCCATCATTTTCCCCAAGGGGAATATTTTTATTTTACCCTAAAAGTTCCTCCTATGGCACTTCTAGAGTGTTCTACCAGCCAATCTGAAGGGACCTATCATAGAAAATTTGCATTACTTCATAAAAATCTGAACCCATGGTGATGTAGGTCACATTTTCCTCACTAAGTATACCAGACCAGGATACTCTGCAATTACTCTAAGTAAGAGTCATCTCTTGTCCTCTTGCAGACACACATTTTTAAATAGTTTTATATTATAAAATTTCAAAAAAAATCTCTTCAAAGATGTTTATGTTTGCATAGGATATCAATTTATTTAATCAATGAAGATGCAGTAAGATCAAGAAACAGCAGATAGGGATGAGAAGGAAAGTCAAGACATAAGTTCATGACTTCACTGGAAAGAAAAAACTGCAGTTGGAAGAACAGGAGATGAGACCATGAAATTCATGATTGGGATGTCATCGAGAAGGTGGTGTGGAAAATGCCCCTGCCTCCACAGCATCTGTGAGAAAACAAAAGAAAAAATGTGTTAGAGTGCAGCTGAGCTGATATCAGTGGCCTGATCTGACAGTAGAAAAAAAAAGTAGAATCTATTATGTGGAAGTGATTATAGCACCCAAATCGAAATATTTGCAAAATCTTTTGTAACGAAGATGAAGTCATAGCACTTTTTAACCTCAGTGTGGATGAAGAAGGCAAGAAAACACTTCAGGTTTTACTTGCTGGTAAGCACTGGAGGAATCATGTACAAAGCACTGCGTAGGAATCCGTGTCCATCCGGGAATGTTCGGACTCTGTCATAAGCATATTCTTAGGAGAGCATTACTTTTGCTGGACCCTGCACTAGGAATTGCATTCCTCTCTTTGGAAATCGCCAAAGTGTATAAATCGATATCAATAATCCATTGGCAAGTATCTTCCAGAGTCAGATGTAAGGTTAATAAAGATTTCAGTACTAAGAGTTTCTTATTCACCCTGGGATTCATCAGGTCTACTCACAATTGAGAGTGGAGAAATAATCCTATTTTACAAAAAAACTATTCATATTGTCACAATAAAAAAATCCCTGGTTTTTTTTTTTTGTAAATGTGTATTATTTTGTTGGATATGTGCACACACAGTAAGCAAATTCACAACTTTAAGAGGAGCTATTTGGTCTTTCAAATATGTCACATTTCCTAAGGAAAACAGTCTCAAACGTGTAGACTATCAAGTATCACAAGCACGATGCTCCTACTCACGTGAGCAAGTCCTTTACTGTGCACAGGTGTCTGCGGAGGAAAAGAGAAGGCAAAAAAAGACATAAACAAAGTGGTGGGAGTTATCGATAAATCTAAGCAGCTGCAGTAGCAGTTCAATTAAAATACATGTTTTGTTCAATTTTGCTGTTGCAATTCCAAACCGAGTGTAATACTCCTTACGTTTGCATTCCAAATGCATTTTGATACCATCCTATGGCCGTCAGTGTCCCTACCTGATTGGGCGACGTGTCTTATGTTTTCCTTTGGAATTCCGTTTACCTCAGCGACCTTAGCAAGCTTCTGATTTTCCTGCTGTGTCAGACTGTCTCTTTTTCCTGCGTTTCACGGAAGGGAAAGCAGAGGGGGTGTGCTCAGGACGCTGCATGGTTTCTAAAGCATTCCCAGGGCCAGGTCGTGCCGGTGCGATGTGGGAAATCCCACCGTCCCCACCCTCCCTCTTTCCCGCGGGAAAACTTAAGTGGCACTGGGTAACATCCAGCAGTAAACATCCCATCAGTGTACAGTTCCTAGGAGTACTGAGCGCACCAAAGTTCACCCATGCTGTGAGTCTCAGTGTCCACGAATCATATGCAATCTCCAGACACACCCGGGGCATGCAGACGGCTGTGTCTAAGAGCTCTAAACCTCTGCGCCCTGTAACTTCCCACTTTTCTCTTTCTATGTTCTGCATCCGTTCCCTTGTTTGCTGAACCCTTAACCGAATGTGGAGCCAGAATGTTCTGAGCTTATTCATCTGTGTCACTTAAGCAGGGAGGGCAAGGAAGAGAAATATAAAAGAAACACTGCTTCATCTTTCTTAAACCAAGTCTCACAGAATCTACCTGAAATATGTATAGGTCTAACACCACTGAGGATCTCATGCTTCTATTGCTGCCCATAAAAATAATCAATAGTCAGAATTATTTACATGCCAAGAGCTTTGTGTTTCACAACCTAAATCTGATGTGTTGTCTTTTTACAGAGCAGCGGATTCAAGTCCTCCCCTGCCAGGTAAAGGTTTCAAAGTAGAAATTAACACAATCAGGACTATGGGAAAGTAATGTACTGAAACCAGGTTTTAAATTTTGCTTCATTAGGTGACATAGTTCAATTATATTTGACATTTTTTTCTTGGGACTATCTTAGACTACTTTTGAGACTCTCTCTCTCTCTCTCTCTCTACATATATATATATATATATATATATATATATGCAAAACCTTATATTAAGGCCCCAGAGATTATGCATATCTTTACTTTCATAAACAACACACTAACTTTGATATCATCAAGGTGAAAGTTGCAATCTTGTATGTGAACATATTTCTATGCTAAGGACCATAGTTACATAATACACAAACTCACCCCTCCCTCTGCAAATGTGACATCGGTCAAGTTCACATGCATACCATCCACACTACAGAGAAAATCCTCCCATACTTACCAACAACTACAATCATGTTTGTCTCCTTGCCTTCTTCATCTATGTTGTGGTTAAAAAATGCCAGGACATCATCCTGCTGAGCGATAATTTTGAAAAAGTTTTGGCCCGCATCTACAATTGAAAAAACAATTTCAAAACTCATGATAGTTCAGTTTTTCCCACTTGAATTGACATGATTTTTTATAACATGTTAGTGTTAATTCCTCTTTCGAAAATTCTCTAGTTCCCAAACTCTCCTCAACATGTTAGAATCAGGTGTGAGAGGTAGTGATGGAAGGACCTGCTTTATATCCCACCACCTAAATAGTAGCAATTTTATCAATCCTAGCAGATCGCATGCTGTTTTAGCACGACAAGGTAAATGGTAGGTGAAAGAAACCTCCCCTTACCAACCAATGAATCAAAGTCAATTAATAAAGTCTCAGAAATTTTATCCCTTAGGATTTAAGCCCAATGAATATTTTACTGTAATTCAACGAGTATCAACTGAAATGTAACATGTTAACATACACTCAACAAGCACCACTTACCCTTGCAGTAGATAATAATGTAAAGAGATGCCCATTTCATTTTTGAAAACTGCCGGACATATAGGTTGTGTAGTTGTAGTTTAATTCCTTTCTGCTGGTATATCATCATATGTATACAAGTTCAAATATTTTTTAGTTCAAGATTACAGAAATATAGTGTACACTGCTTTCCATGCAAAAACTACTTACTATTAATTTTATACCCAGGACTACTTTTTGGAAGTTATTGTAATTCAAAGCCATAGAAGTTGATATCCTTTCTCTCAGTATTTTAACTGAAGTGCAAATGATCTGCAACTAAGTTTGGATATTTTCCCTGTCATCTTCATTCTTAAGATTTGGGGTTTAATGTGATCACATTATACCTTAAACCTGGTTTATCTATTAAGCAATATTTTACACATAAATAAATTTATTCAATGAAAGGGAAGTGTGGACATATTTTCTAAGGGCATAAGACAAATTTTGATAAAGTTTCATCACTTGATTTAGTTTTATGTAGATCTTCTCCCCTGAAAAGCATATAAAATACAGGAGACAATCAAAATTATAGTGAATGATCAAGTTTTTTAGAAATTATTGAGGTAAAAATCTCATTGTCCTGAATCCCCCTGGGAAGGCTCCCCTTTGCTTGGACACACTCATCCCATTGTTCTTGCCAATTTCTGAAGCAGTTGTGGAGTTTTCTTTCCTCACTCTCCTTAAAAGTTGTAGTCAAAAATATGTTGACTGCTGGCACGAAGGATGGGATTAGTGTGTCTGAACTGAGGGCAGGATTTTGAGGGGGACTCACAGCAATATATCTGCTTAGGTGAAGGACTTTTTAAAAGTGAACATACCACATTTGCCCATCATACCTCACACACTTTCTGTGAACCTCCCACCCTTGCCATGGATCCAGATATCCCATGCACGTATTTAGGTGACATGGAATTGATCCTAGAATGCAATGAAGTCTTAGAAGTTTCTGTAGCTTTTGCTAAGTTGCTTTAGGATTTACTACAAGAAAGTGTTCCGGAGTCCCAGCTTCAGATCAGGAGGACTGAGCTCTGGCCAGGAACTGGCCTGCACCGCGGGGCTGGAGCCATGGGGTCATCCTACTGCATCAAGTACTCACATTCCGCGACGTAAACGCCTTTCTCTTCATCTAGTACTCCCACCCTGTTGAACTCTTGGCATCGTCCGTTCGCTCTGAAAGACAGATCCACAAAACACTGCTTATTCAACATCCTAATTGCCCCATTCCTGAAGATTCATGGGACTTATGTGACAGTGGAATTGCTGGAACTAATAGAATGTGTCAGTGTCACACTCAGGTAATGCCCCCGTTATATTAGAGCTTCACGATTGGACCATAGGTTTGGCCATCCCTGGTGGGTGTGGGCTGTCGGGTTAGATGAACCTTGGTGTCCAAACAGCCTTCCGAGGCTGTGCAACTTTCCTACCACCAACAGTGTCCCATATCCTTTACATTCCCTTAACTGTCAGCCCCAACTGCTTCAACGTGCATTGTCTGAAAACCTCTACATGTAGACTCTTGGAGGCTGTGGGTGGACACAATCCCACATCACATGGAGAACTGCAGCTGTATTTTACATATATCTATGACACTATTTGGAAAGAGATTTCCACACCTTTTCAATAAATGCTGCTGCAAGTATTGGGGCTAAAGTCCTTATGCACTAAGTCACTTTTCAATTTCTGCTCATTTAGGGGATAATGAATCAATAAGATTTTAATAAATATGTCATATTGGTGATAGAAGCATATAGACATATATCTACATCCATCCATCCAACTGTCCATCAGAATCCTATGTCAATATGTTACTACCACTATTATGGTATATGTCTCTTATTGTATCAAGATCTGGGGAACACGGTGTCATGCTCATATCTCAAAACTAGAGCTCCCATTTGAATCTAACCCTGGACACTTTCACATTAGACCACAGAACACATGGCAGTAGTTCGATGGATGGTTCCTTTAGATTGGGTAAATTTTGCGTACTTGACATAAAACCTGATGGCGAGCTTCCTGCATTCTTCTTGGCATTGCAGTTGTCGGATATACACCTGCAGCGGGCCATTGTCATCGATTTTTTCCCCATTATCAGCGGCCAGGGAAATGGTGTGCCAGTCACCACTGACCTATGCAGGAGAGATCACACCAGAAAATTTAGCGATTTCTTTATTCTTGCCTCCTTAACATTCACACAAGATGCCATACATCATCTCCACAGAGAAATATAAATCTGACCCTACTGCTTGCTTCTGATCCCGGAGAGAAAAATCATGTAAGGCCTCATAGTAATGATTCAGTCACACAGAATGCAAGGCGTTTAGAGTTCCTGAAGTAGCCACAGCTGTGCATTCAAACCCCATAAACACTTAAAACCTTCAGTCTAGTGCTTTAGGTTTTGCATACAGAGACTATTCTGGTACTAAACACAGAGACTTGGAAAACCATGAAGTTCTCTCGGGAATACGGACATACATGGAACAAGATGTTCAGAAAATCTGAAACAAATATGGAAAGTAATGACAGGGGTACACATACATAGGAACACACACACACACACACACACACACACACACACACACATGGCCTCAGTGAAGACTAGCTTATCTGCATTACCTCCGAAGGGTCAACATGGTGTTGCGCAGAGGCAAGACCAACGGTGAAAGCGAGCAGGAGAAGCTGCATCTTGTTGGAGCTGCTTTTCCTCTTCAGGAGAAGACCAGAGGAGGAGAGACGTTGAGGGGAGTCTGAGCTGACGCCTCTTTTATAGCACTGCTCCTCCGGGAGGATGCATAATGACCCATTTGTTCATCCCACAAGCTTCAGCCTTAACATTTCCAGGTTGGCAGTGGTGGACTTTATGTAATTTTCTAACATCCTCCTAATGAGATTAGTATCTGGAGAAGTTTAAGTTGGACTGGACATGTGACCTTTTCAGTTTCTGAAAGAGAACACAAATCATAGGAAATATTTCAAGGACATTTGTGTCATTTTCTCTTACATCCCAGTTACTAAAACAGAAGATGAATCACAAAACACATATCCATAGCTCCTATGTGGCTCTTTCTAACTAACAGGGAGTGTACTTACACTCACTGTTGAAAATAAATATGGCACCCTTTGGTTTGGCCAAATGAGAAGACAGCATCTATGATTTGAATTGCCGGTACCTACACATCTCACAAGAGTCTGGTTATATGTAAGTAATCACTGCAAGCTGTGCTTGGTGGTTCACGCTGATAATAGCAGTCCTCTGGGGAGACTGAGGCAGGAGGATCACAGATTCAAGCCCAGCCTGGCCACTTGGTGACTGACTGAGACCCAGACATAAAATAAAAGATAACATGTGCTGGTGATAAAGCCTGGAGTTCAAATCTCAGTATGCCCAAAAATAAATGAAATAGAAAGTGAAGCAAATTAAAGCAGTAATCAAAGAAAGTGAAAAAACGTTGAAACTACCAATCATTTTCTTATATTGATTAGGAAGCTCTCTATTCTCTTATTGACATCCATTTTTTTTGCTACCCACTTAATTTATCCAGAACTACTCAAACTGGATTAGAAAAATCAAGGACAGCTATGATAAGAATAATTCATAGAGTTTGAAATTCATTTAAGGTGAAGGTCATGTGAACTGTAAAAAATATATATTAAACATGATGAAGAGTTGGAAGAATAGGGGATCCAGTTATCAAATCAGCTGGATGGATTATTCCTCAGTACGTGACTTGACCTCACACGGCCGATGTCTGAACTGAGCACTGTGCTTCCCCGTATCTCATTGAGACATGAATAACTCAGAGGAAGTTTGCACACATTGAAAGGGAACAACTGGTAATTCCTGTGCAATGCAGGCACTTTGAGCGATCAATGTTATGAATGTTTAAGTTTTAAAGAAATGTGAGATTAAAACTCACATATCTGAGAATGCCCCTGCTACTCTCTACCCCGCGTTCAGGTACGCTTATGCCATTGTTTTTACCAGTTTGTGAAGCAGTTCCTGAACTTGTGTTTGTCTTTCTGAAATACGATCAAAACTAAAGAGAAATCTGCTGCCAAGCACCACTCAACAGAAAGGGAGGCCCACAAAAAATTGGCGATGTGTCTTTGTCCAACTTCATCATCCGGACCTGGCACCATATCACTGCTGTCATTTCCTCCATGTTAAAATGACCATGAAAGGTCAAGGATTTGTAGGAGTCAATGACCTTGACACAGACATAAACCTTCATGCAAAGCCAGCTACGTGCAGCAAGGTTAAAGTGATCTGAGCAAGGGCATTGGAGTGTGTGTGTGTGTGTGTGCACACATTTCTTACTATTACTTGTCCAGATCCATTTGATATGACTGTCTAAGTCCTTATATGTCTGTGTCCATTAAACTATACATTTATCTTTTGACTCTTTATACTTCTTAACATTTGTCTCTGAATATAAAATCTAATGTAACAAAACATATCACAGAATATCCACTGCACATGACAACAACTGAAAGCAACTCTCACTTTTCTGTTTTAGATGCAAATCTGTGTCACTGCTGAATTTTGTATTCTTTTACCTAGTGAGGTAAAGAACACAGGGCCCAAAAATTCAATGATCCAATGCAAAATTGGGCATCTGTGATGAATACAGATTTCTCAGATAAAGAAATACTGATGGCAGATAAATATATGTAAAAATGTTGAACATCATTACAAATTAAAACAACAGTGAGATTCCATCTCACTTCAGAAGAATAGTATCATTAAGAATTCATCCAATAACAAATGTTGGAGAGGTTGTGGGGGGAAAGAAACTTTTCTCCAATGTTGGTGGAGTGTCGATTGGTGAAACCACTGTGGAAATCAGTTTGATGATTCCTCACAAAACTAAAATTAGACTTCCTACTTAACCCCAGCTATTCAGCTCCTGGGTATTTTCCCAGGAGAATTGGAAACATCATGCCCAGGGATGTATGTGCACCCATGTTTATAGCAGCACAATGTGTTATAGCTAAATCTTGGAAACAACCAAATTCCCATCCACTGAGGAATGGATAAAAAACGTTGTGGTATTTTTGTACAATGGAGTATTACTCATGTATGAAAAAGATAAAGTCGAGTCTTTTATAGGCAAATGGATGCAAATAGAGACCATACTCATAAGTGAACTAAACTGGACCCACAGGTGTAAGCATCGTATTGTCTCCCTAGAGAAAGAAAAGGAAAGAAAAATTGGAACTCAAATGTGCAATACATATTAAGAAAGGGCAATTGCTCAATAGAACAAACAACGTGAATGAAGGAAAAGAGAAAATGAAAGAAAGAAGGAATGGGAGATATATATATATATATATATATATATATATATATATTTACAGAAGGATAGCTGGGAAAACTGTATTGCTGATGTTTAATGATTCATTGAAATTTACAGTCAACGCTATATTTTTTCACCAATTTTGCATGTTTATATCTGATATTTTGAACAACAAAGTTGAAGACAACAATATGCACTATAGCAGTCATTATTGAATGCCTATCATCCTGTTTGTTGAAATTCTGCATCAGAGTCATTCACCTGTGCAAAACTCGAGCATATTTTGTTGAAAAGAAACAACAGTGAAAGACAGATAAATAGGAAGTGGGGGGAACTTCATATGGTCCCTCAAATTACTTATTCCATTCTTTCAAAAATATGTTAATATATGTGCTTATTAGCTTGGGAGAAGTTGAGAACATTCTCTCACCTCATCTGCTTAGGCTTCCAAAATGCCAGGCAACGGATGGAAAACTCAGAGGAAAAAGACAAGCTTCAGTGTGCAGACATTCATAGCTTTGAGCCAGAAGCACCTCGATGCCGTGGTTGTGCTTTTAGCAGGGATTGCTTAAGATGTGGACACATAAATGGTCACAGACTAAATGAACTTCATGACCATGGTAACCCTAAGAACTGAAAAGCCCATGTCTGCCTTCCTTCATTTCGCTTAAGATTTTCAAGCTGAAGGGAGGGAGGGTGGCAACGGTGACATTTCCCAGGTGACACAAGCACAGCATGCCCCAGGGGATGCTTTACCCATTAGGCAGTGAAAACTTCCAAGGCCGAATATAACACATGTGATAAAAAGAAATTTTAGTACACCAGGTCAGATTTTAATATACACTTAAGTCTGGGTCATACTGATGGCATGGATTTATTGCAATGATGACTGAGGTCAGATTTTGTAAAAAGGAGGGAGCCGCTTTTACTTTTGGGACATAACTTTACCTTTTAGAGCTTTACTACCAGTAAAAAAAAATCACTGGTAGTGATTTGTACATGTACAAAATTCTTGTAATGAATGTAATCTATGTGAACAGCTAACATAGACTAATACAAATTAAGGTTAAAAAATAGGCTGCCGTTCAGTAGTATAACTCCCAGGTACATGCTGAAATTTTACAAGATTCATCTATACGTTGCATACATCATGGTCAAAATCCTTGATGATTTTGTCATCTGTATTAGTGCACACATATTTCTTTTTGGTGTTCCTTAGGTTTAAGTATGTTTTCTACCCATTTCATTTATTTTGAGGATTGCTTTACAACGATCCAATGTAACAAAGGGCATGTGAGATAAATATGTACTTCTTAGAGGAAGAAATACAAATGGCCAATAAATATGAGAAAAATTGTTTAACTTCACTGGTGATTAGAGAGATGCAAAATCAAGCAATGCTGAGATTCCACCTCATTCCAGAAAGAATGGCTTTTGTTAATAAATCAACCAATAATAAATGCTGGAGGGCCTGCATGGAAAAAAGAACTCTTTGCCACTGCTGCTGGGAGTGTAGACTGGTGAAATCAATATGGAAATCAGTTAGAAGTGGAATTTGACACACCTATTCCCCTCTTGCATATTTTCCCAGGAGAATCAAAAAACATCAGTTGTGATATGTACTCAACACTAACTCAAAGTTAACTAACATGCACACAGTGTGTGGCTGGAGATGTAGCCTATTATTAGCATATGTACAATTTTCTCAAAAAAATTCATATTAAATATGATATTAATATACATGATGAGATGCTCCACCATACAAAAGATAAAACTGAGTCATTTATAGGGAACAGAATGTACCTTGTGTCCATAACATGAAATGAAATATGGCAGTCACATTAACTTATATATCACAAGGTTTCTTTTACAAAAGAACGCTACATATAAGCAATGAGCATAATAAAAAACGGAGAAGAAGATCTTAAGTCTATGATGGTGACCAAGAAAGAAGGGGGGTTTGAGAGAGGGGGTGTGGAGAGGAAGAAAAAGAAGAAAGAAGATGCGTTATGTGAATGCACCAACACTACAGGAAGAATAGAAATATTATGAGCAGTTTACAAAGAAAAGGGAGTCACTAAACAGGTGGAGTGGGGTAGGATGGAAGGAAAAGGGGTTAAAAAAGAAAACTGAGTGTATTTAGTGCTTGTATCACCTCCTCAAAAATGTAAACATTATGTATTACCAATATTAATGGTTTAAAAATAGAATATTTTACAATATCATTTACAGTGAAATCATATTGAATTTAAATTTTCCATATAGTTGAATATAACATTTACTTATACAATAGGTAAGAGACAAAATAAGTTGAAATGAGAATACTAGGACATGCTTGGTATATGTATCATCTTGTAATATAATGTTATGGTTTATGTCTAGATATTCTCCCAAAGCCTCAAACAGTCATGGGGTGGGCTTGTAGAGT